TTCACAACTGGTAAACAAAAATGATGACTTAGATCTATAGAATTTATTTTTCCCGATTTACCGTATACATTCTTCACACTAGTCCAAGATCACTGCTTTTTACCAATTTTACTCAATTTAATTGTTGTTGTTGTTGTTGTTTGTTATTTCTAAGCAGCGTTGAAATAAAAAGTTGTGAGCTTAATAGCAGGTATAAAGTAAAGTTGGTCGCTTTTACGCACAAGGGGGCTCTCCCGAAAAATGCTTTTTGAGAAAATCGAAGGAAAAGTTTTTGCCCCTTGTCCAGTCTCTATAAAAGACAAGGACAATTTTCACTGATGCCAAACAAATATACACACCAGTGAAATTAAACTTCTCCTATAGGTAGGGCTACGCCCACCTTTGGTGTAGGTTAAGATTTCTGAAAACCCCTGAAATCTTTGTTAGCCCGCTTGTCCTTAAAAGCGACCAGTTGTTCCCGTATCCGAACCAGACATTGGGGATTGCCTTGTTAGTGAGACAGCTTCCTCGGCCTTCGGCATATTGTGAAAGGGAAGCCAGTTCCTTTCCACGCCGCCTTTACTTCACCAACTGGAAGTCAGGTACCCATTATACTTTTACTGGGTAGGCAGGAGGGGGCAACAAAAATATCCGTGTCCGAACCGAGGCTCGAACCCAGATTTTCCGCTTCGGAGATGAGCGCGCTAATTGCTCCGCCACCGCCCCCTCAACAGCAGGTGTTTACCACGCTTATCCCTATTCACGACAATAAATTACTTCAATATTGCCTCAGGCTCGTGCTTGACAAGAAATAGCCTTTACTGTTGTACTCAACCACTGGATTGTTCTGTGCTGTCTCCACGTGAAATGTCAGCGAGGCAGAACAAAAAAATAGCCTTCTACTTACTTCTAGTCCGGGAAAAGAGAACTTAGATCTGACCCTTGAACTTTGAGAAAATTGTTATTTGCAACAAAACTTTTAAAATGATTTTCTTACTTTAAAATCTAAGAGATCAACTGAAATGGAACCAAACGTCATTTTCATGACAGTAAGCGTTGAGAAAAATTCATTTTTTCACAAAATCGTGTACAATTTTTAACTGTTAGATATTTTGGCTTTAAGAACCAATCCTTTTTGTGCTACCAGAGTTTACTTGCTAAACAAAGAACTAATTCATAGGACAATAATTGGATTTTGTTGGGTGTCTGTAAGCTATGGCATATCCCTATTCACAACAATTTCTTCAATATTGCCCCAGGTTCGTGCTTGAAAAGGAATACTGCCGTACTAAAAAAAAGGCAACTCCTAGGATCGGTTTAAAGATTGACAATAATACAATGGTCAAAGCAAACTTTTTGTTAAAAGTTGTCATTCTTGGAACTAAAACGGCTTTTTTTTAGGGGGCGGTAATGTTTGATACATTTCAATAATCCAGGTTTTTGACATTTAACCAATTTTAATTGTTTATTGATAGGTCATAAGAAAAGTATGAACCGGACCTTAAATAGGCATGATTTTGAAAAATGCGTTTATTGCTTATTGGTGTTAAATTTTAGCTTAATCAGAGAATACTTTTTTACAGGAGCCAGATTTAATATAGGGCTACAAGGAATAATTGCCTTTTGTTATGAACATAAATTAAAACTGCTTTAGACAATGAAACAATGGTAATAGGTTTAATTTCTAGCTGTTACAATTTTGGACTGTGCTGTAAGTATGCTAACCAACTATTGCCTCTTATAAAGCTGAAAAAGGCTCTTCTTGGCTGGGACAAAGGGTAATAATTATTAAGCTACGAATGTTTAAGAAATATATAGGCTACTCGAAAAGACAAACAAAATTAGAGAAACCTAAGATCATCAAACGATAACACCCTACTAGTGACACCCGTAAAATCATACAAATCATATGGAGAGAGATCTTTCTCATATCTTGGTCCATTTACGTGGAACAGATTACCCATGGAACTAGGACAAACAAGAATACTTGATAGCTTCAAAAGACACCTTAAGCATTTTCGGTTTCTACAAGCTTATCCTTCATAAGCGTTATTTTTATTATAGTTGTTCTTTTCCTATGTCTGAATGAAAATTTTCCCTGTGTGTGTGTGTGTTTGTGTGTGTGTGTTTGTGTGTGTGTGTGTGTGTGTGTGTGTGTGTGTGTGTGTGTGTGTGCGTGTGTGTATGTGTGTGTGTGTGTGTGTTTGTGTGTGTGTGTGCATAAATATATATTGCATGAGAAGAAAGGAAGTAGTAAGAAAGGTTTTGAAAAGGGGTATTCCAATGTAAAGCGCATTGAGCTACTTCCTTGGAAATGAGCTATATAAATGTTATATGTTATTGTCATTATTATTATTATTATTATTATTATTATTATTATTATTATTATTATTATTATTATTATTATTATTATTATTATTATTATTATTATTATTATTATTATTATTATTATTATTATTATTATTATTACTACTACTACTACTATTATTATCATCATTATCATTATTATTATTATTATTATTATTATTATTATGATTATTATTATTAAATGTTGTCTAGCTTAGTTTCGATCAACTCGAAGTCTAACTAATAGGGAGTCGAAAAAAAATTTTTTTTAAAGGTTTACTTTGTTAATGGACTACCATGAGTTGGCTTAAAGTAAGATTATTAAATAACTGTTTGATGATTCCGGGGTGGACATACTTAACAAGTCAGTTGCACGATCCCTGCAATTACGTATTCGCTTAATAGTGGAGTGAGTTTCAAAGATATCTAGAAACTCGTGCTATACTCAATGTTATGTTGAGTTCCTTGTTCTTGGCACAGTATAAATACGCACAGTACTTCAGCTTTTCTGTACCCCAGTTCTTATTTGACAAGCAGAAGGAATTCTTGCAAACTGCTGTTTCAATAAGTTGGATTTGGGTGAGTTATTTTAAGTATTCTTTTTTAACATTCACCTGATCGTTTCCAAAGTATTAAGCGATAGCAGAGTGTTGGTGGGTAGAAAGAAGTCAAAATAGATCTATTGGCCAGCTTTTCAAATATACTAAGACCTTTTTTTTTTAATTGTTCCATTGAAGTTTCTTGATCGATGGTAACGGTTCAATGTGCTAAAATATGATTTTGTTTTTAAAATTTTTGGAAAAATCAAATTGTATACGTTAAATTTTGCTGCCATTTTCTTTTTTTAAATCTCTAATTTTACCTATTGACACCAGGTGATTCCCTCCTCAATCTTCCATCTATCTCTAACTTCTCGACTTCTATTCAGGATAAATGGAATTTTTTTTCAACAAAACCAAGATATTATATGAACAAGCTGAAAATTATGCCAATATCCACATCTGCCCCTAAATTGACGAGTACTTGATTTCACTGCGTCTTGACACAACTATACAGTTTGTGTGCCAAAAAAAAGACCGATACTTATTTTGTCTTTAATTTTCTTTAAAAAATTCAGAACAAGATTCGGAGCAGAAATGCGAACAAATCCTTGCGGACCGTTTCAATCCTAGAAATAGTTCCCCCCAAAGTCGTGCCACTACAGCATACTTTCTGTCGAAAATAACGTTTTCCCTTATTTCAGAGTGCAAATTCATACCATGGCTACAATTCTCCAAATCGTAACCTTGGCAACGGTACTGCTTGTCCAAGTTCGAGGCCATGGAAGACTCATAGAACCGCCCAGTCGATCCAGCATGTGGAGATATAGATTTGACAATCCAGTAAACTATGACGACAACCAACTTTATTGTGGTGGATACGATGTAAGTCATACCAAATCTTGTTCCCGTAACTCGTATGAGAGTTGAGTGTTTAACCTGTGATTTTTTTTTTTTTTGCCATACTTGGGTGGAAGTTTTTTTTGGTCTTGAGGGTAAATCCCCACATGAATACCTTTTGAAAAACAATTTTCTCAGGCTCTTTTTTTATGTGAATTGTCTCTGAATTCATCATTCTTGAACGATTGATGTTTTGCTAATTTTATTTTTAGTCTCATTTTAGAAAAGTTAAAATCAGGAAGATATTCAAACTTGTAGACCTGTTTATTCCTCTACACTGTTTCGTTTGTGTGTTGTCTGAAATTCCGCAATTTCCACATTTATATCTATAAATGCAACTCGTGACATAGAATCCCCCCCCCCCCCCCAAACACCCAAATCTTTCCCACATCAACCCGTACCCCACACGTTCAAAGTAGGACTGGGCAATCAGTCGCTTTAGCAAAATCCGGTAACTATCTTAGTGCACCTCTTCGGCAAACAATATGATATGAACCGCTTCGGCAAACGGGTCAGGAAAAAGTTAGTCTGAATTCGGATAATGTCTTATTGAGGATTATCCTATTATCTGGAAATTTATTCGGATTTTGCCCACCTCTAGTTCAAAGCAGTCACTAACGCAGCGACAAGTGGGGAGATGGGCTCGCATGGTCCCCAGTGTGGTGAACAGAAGATGCAAACTCTTTTTGGAAATGGTTTTTAATGCAGCATATTAATAGGAAATTTAACTTCTATAAAGATTAGAGGTGCCAAAGTGGGGTGGTTGGCGGGTGCCAAGGTAGGGTTTTACTTCCCATTTTCTATCAAACCTATCGTCCTTATCTCCACTTTTCTATCAAACCTACCTTTCTTTTATCTCATTTTCTATCAACCCAAAGTCCTTATCTCACCTGTTCTACTAAACATGGTCCTTATCTCTCCTCGTGTGTGCGGGGGTTTTTAATTTTTTTTTGGTCACTCTCTTGTAACGCTTCCAATGTCGGCACTTGTATGACCTTATTTCTCTAAAACTAGAAAGATAAAAAAAACACCTATAGTCTGGACAATCCCAAATGGACAACTTGACGACCTCATTACACAGAAAATACGTGGCGAATTGTCCTGGGGTTTTTTTTTGTTGCTTGTGCCTCTGAACTCCAAAATAAAAACAACATATTATTATCTCGATTTTCGTGCATATGCGACACATATAAAGGGTCTTTTTATATAATCATTAGTATTCAATTAGTCTGCACAGGGATTTTTGATTAGACCAAGAACGGTAGTTAAGTGTTAGTTTTTTGTTTGTTTAATCCATTTTCTTAACTGACTGCATTTGCCACAGGACAGTTGTTTTCCGTCCAGAAGTGAGTGGGTGACAGTGGGTTTATTTTGATTGACTCATTGTGATATACAATTAGCAAAATTTCTTTCATATCTTCCGTCATTGAGATCTCATTCTTTTTTAATTTGCTGTCGCTTTTTCATTAATCACCATCGTTAGATTACTTAATAATGTACAAACCTCAAAAACGTTGTCTTACAACTTCTGAACTCTTTCACCAAAGAAGCTGATCGAGGCCGTCTTCTTTATTCTATAACAACCCCCCCAAAAGGACAAAGACATGTATGTGTAAAGGGGTTGGGGGGGGGGGGACGCAGTGACTTTGCATTAGCGCTTCAAATATAGCACTCAAATATAGCAATCTGTTAACCCAAACTGTATCCCCCCCCCCCCCCCTGAAATTTCCTGGCTTAGCCCCTGCAACGACACCCTGTATTGTTTTGGTTTTAACTTTACATAGTACCGTGCTTGCTATAAAAAGTGCGCTGTGTTGAGTTTGATGATCAATTAATTGCTAATGATTATATAGACAGAACCTTTATTTTTGTCGCATATGCACTAAAATCGAGACGTTTTAGACCATTTAGAATTCAGAGGCGTATGCAAAAATCAGAGATTCGCCCCTTAGATTCCGTGTAATGAGGTCGACAAGTTGTCCATTTGGTGTTGTCCGGACTATGCAAAGTGCTCAATTATCCGATCGATGCTCAATTATAATATGCAATCTTCCACAGCATCAGTGGAGAGTAAACCAAGGGCGCTGTGGTGTTTGCGGTGACCCTTACGACGGACCACGAGAGAACGAGGCGGGTGGGACATTTGCTAACGGAATCATCGTTCGGCAGTACCAGGAAGGTGACATAATCAACGTGAAAGTTCAGCTGACAAAGAGCCATTTGGGCTGGTTCGAGTTCCGTCTGTGTCCAAACAACAACGTCAATAGAGCAGTGACTCAGGAATGTCTGGATTCGAACCTGTTGGAGTCTCCGAATGGGTTCACGCGCTACAATGTAAGATTTTTGAACATTTCACACACAAACACTTTGGCGCTCATATGAACGTATACAGTTGCGAGTGCCGTAAAACCTCTACTAAAACTGAACACGTAAAACACTTATATCATTATCAAACACCGGCACAGTTTTATTTTAGCACGAGCACGCACACGCAGATGCGCACGCACATACACGCACGTGCCAGTACAACTGCTATACGTATACACTCGCTCATCTTTTCGCTCATCTTTTCTTTCTCGTCACTTCACGGAGGAATCCGATGCTCGTCAATTTTTTAGACTTGGAGTTAATGATTTAACTTACAGCTTGTAAATTAGCATTGTTTCAGATTTTTAAATGTACATGAACATTCATCTTTTAAGTAGAGGTCGAAATATTATTTGCGGTTGGAAGTATAGTGGAAGGAGCGGGGGGGGGGGGGATGTTCAGAGGTAAAATTAACGAGAAAATGGCTGTCAAAAGTTTGTTATTTTCCAAGCTCAAGTTCTTGGAAATGTAAGATTTAGCCTTTTATGCCTCTATTACCCCCCCCCCCCCCCCCCCAATAAAATCCACACAGAAATGTTTTTCAGTCTGCTTAAAAGGTGCTGAGCAAGAAAAACGAATTCAGTAAAATTTACGAAACTGACTTTATTTGAATTCTTTACTTTGACGAGCGCCTGATTTCTCCACGATGCCTCACATATTGTACACGTACTCAAACAAGATGTACTATGTTTACTCTCTGACCCACGGTCACGTTTGTACGTATAATACGAACGATTGTTATTGATGTAAGCTAGTTACATACGCCCGTTTGGGGGGGAGGTTGCTATGTTCCTTTTTTTACACCTCTATCCATCCCCTACCTTCCTGGCAAAGAAATGAGGAAATAATTCATTTTCAATTCCACTGAAACTAAACCTTTGTTCTCCTTGCATCAATACCCAAGCTTTTATTAAAAGTGCAATGCCTCCCAGGAATATGTTGGCACGTGTCCTGGTGTGGGTTTTTTTTTTCTTCTTTCCCACCAAAATATATCATCATTTTTTTACTCTCTTGTAATGCAAAACCTTAGGCTCGTAGAACTTTATGTCGCAAGGGCTAAAACTTAATTAATTGGTTGGCTGGGGCTCTGGCATGGTTTGCTCTTTCTGTACCATCTTTATTATCTTTATCTCGCCTCTTTGTTACTCTCTTCTGACGCCAAATGTTTGTCATTTATATGACCTTATTGTGTTAATGTCGTAAGTCTTGAAACTGTTTTTCCAACCCAAAAGATTTGTAGGATGTGCAGAATTCTGACAGCTTTGCTCTCTTTCCAACACCACGGCCTTAGGAACATAAATCTGAAGTTGCTCAATTATCAACCTAGAGGGGGTACGTGTTACGGACATTTGAAAAATTTTCAAAATAATCCATTGCTTACACATTATAGATTCTATTCTGATTTTGCTTGTACAATGCTGACCAGGTTCGAAGCTGGGACGCAATGGTACATAGCTTGAAGGTCCGGTTGCCTCGGGGAGTCACGTGCACGCAGTGTGTGCTGCAATGGAAATACAACGCAGGTCAGTTGATTGGACAAATTATATATCTCGTCTCGTAGATTTGGCTAAGTTAAGCTTTTATGTCCTGTGACGCTCACTACTACAGTGAGTTTGGGTTGTTTTTTTTGTTTTTTTTTAACCGGGGCCGAATAGATGGATCTTGTGTTCACTTGTAAGAAAGCATTCCAAATGTGGAGATGCAATAACTGGAATATCTAGGCTCTGATAAAAGGGAATTTGTTGTTTAACCGATAAGGCTAGTGAGATCGCTTGCTTCGATTTCAATATATAGGTTTTCCGTCTTGTTTTTTTATGCTTTTTTTTTTTGACATGTGTTGCCCACACAGCTCGGTCTAGTCCTTGCAGGCAAGGCCAACGCAGCCTTTATTGTTTACCATATCTTTTGCTAAAGTTGACCCAGCATTTAGAAATCTTTTAGAAATTTATCTCAGAAACGTATATGCGACAGTTATTGTGAAATAGTTTTGCCTAGGTTTTCTGAATCGGTACTTTAATTTATCACTTTTATTTATCGCTTTGGAAAATAAGATTGCGCAAATATTTTATACCAACATGGATATTTAGATCACTTAGATACTTAGAAGTACATGTATCGAGGTTTTGACCTTATCATTCAAAACCTTATCCGGGCTGAGGGAGGTATATCCCAGCTGGTAGACGGTCATATCGTCTAAAATGTTCCGTTCTCTGGAATAAACCTTTCTCTCTAGAATGGATCTAACGCCTTTGGTGTACTACAGTGATGAGTCTGAAGTGAAATTTGAGGGATAACATTTTGTAAGATGACTGATTTTGTAATCCAAAAATCAAGCTCTTATCTGTTCTTCAATTTTTTCAACAATTCGTTCGAACTGAATTTCCAGGTAACAACGTGGATTGCGATAGCAACGGAAATTGTTGTAAGGGCTGTGGACCGCAAGAACAGTTCTACGGCTGCGCAGATGTTTCCATTTCCCCTCGCTGGTAATCGTGTCCCAAGGGAGCAGGTACGGCCAATGGGTTCTGTACGGTCAGTTAGTTCTGTACGGTAGGTTCTACGGGAAACGCTGTTCCACAGGTACATGAAAGATGGTTTAGTTGTTGCAGTGTTGTTTTTTCTCGTTTTTAAAAGGGATGATTATACCGTTAAACACCTAAATCATCTTTTCTTTTTGTAGTTTTGTTTTACTGCTGTATTTGTCGCACATTTAGTTCTCACTTATGAATTTTTATTTGATCGAGGAAGTGTGGGATGGCTTTTTTGTGTACGGAATCCGCCTCTTAAATAGCCTAATAGTTTTGATAGGGGCGTTTAACCATACCATTTCACCATTTGTGTACGGACGGGCAGAAAGTGGGGGGAGGGTTGGTTCCAGTGTAGCGATTCGAAACTGAATGACTAAACTGGAAGTGTGTTTGGAAAGACAGCTTGGTGGGTAGATTTGAAACCTATCCTCCTAACGCAGCAAGATTTTGTTAACGGGACAAGTGTAGGCATCTGGTGAAGCGGTTGGAGGCGTCGCCGTCAACGCAGGTTACGACAGTCTTATCGTATGTGGTGAATATTATTTTTAAAATCGAGTGTTGTTGTCTACCGTTTGTATTCTCTGCCACGGTAGCTCTGGACAGGATCGAAACAGCTCACCTCCAAAATTGGGGGTTTGATAATGGTTCGCCCATTATAACAGATGACCTTAGCTACCTACTTGCTTGCAGGGTAAGGATGGAGAAGGAAATGCTAGTAATTTGTAATAACCCAAATGCCATAGCTACAAAACGCCTCCTTTCCCTTTCCTAGTTTGCTTCTTAGTGGGTGGTTGGAGGGCTCCACTGATAGGCCGTATTTTCCTTTCCCTATGTTGGTTTTGTCGGTGTCCTATTCCCAGCCCAAAATGACCATTATTGTGTCTTTTCTCTTTTCTTGAACAAAGCATATTCGCAAACCTCGATTATCTTCTGATTTATTTTTATGCATTTATCAACAGGAGGCAACGGTGGAAACTTGTATTTGAAAATGAAAAGCAACACAGTGGAGTGCAAATGTCAAGACAGGATTACACGAGTTCTTTCTTGGTTTCCAAATCTCAAACACTATTCAAAGTGGAATTCGGAATTTTTAAAGAAATATTAGTTTCTGATACCACTACAGTGTTTTCGTATGCAGTGTTTGGTTTTTTTTGTGTTAACTGTTGAACCTTTATACCTACATTGCCATATTTTTTTCTAAATGCCTTCCATTTTGGTACCCTGTGAAAAAAGGCATAGTATTAGTTATCCATATTGTGCTTTGACTGGGGTGTTTTACTTACATAAAGTAATTACTTTGCACTACAGCTCGATTTGTACATGCGGTCGTAAAGTACATGCGGTCGTAAAGTGAGTATTATGGAAGACTGGGAAAGGGACAAAGGCGTTATTTAGGATAGTCTGTGCCCCTGCAAGTTGGCTGATTTCTTTAAACTTCCCAAGCATTGATATTAGTGTATGCTGTGCTCATGTGTCTTCTGCCTTAGATTTTTGTACTTTAGATTTGATGTTCGCATGCTGCCATACTTGTGATGGCTCTAGCTATCTGCTTTGTTTTTTACTTTTTTACTGATATGTTAGTACTTATACTGGTCAACGATGAAAAAGGCTTGGCAACAGTTGTCAAATTGTGTGGAAATAAAAAGTGCTGAATCCAGATGTGGTGTTAAGTTGTCTATCGGGTCAGGTTTTTGCAGAATTGACATATTTATATAATTTATTCTATTGTCATGGGAAATCGGAATGTCTCATATTTAAGAAGGGAAATGACTAGCATTTTTAGAAAGATAACACGGTCTACAAATTTTCAAAGCTTCCAGGCTCAAACGTCACTTTAAAAAAAAAAATGGAGTTTGGGGCGTTGAACCCGAAAATGATAGTGAAATGTGTTTTGGTCTAGTTTTCAAAATGTACGAGATAAGTTTTTATTTTTTACAAACGACACATGACAAAAAATTGGTTGCTTCACACTTCCGCTCCTTGTTCATAGACTTAGCTCTTGTATTCAAGTTCTGGTACATTTTTTTTTGCTTCCTACCCACCGTATTCTTGCCAGAAAATTTCAGATAAAATCTGGTTCAATTAATATTTAAATTTGGGTGCGTTTCTAGTGGGTATCTTGTCCCATTTTTTTTCAATTAAGGAATTCTTTGGCCCGTCTGGTTTAGGTCAACCAATCTTACCTGTGTGGTACTAGACGTCGGGGCATGTAGAATATTATCCTGATATCAACTCTACTCTTCGGATTTCCTTACTTTTGTCCTGATCACAAATTTCGCTTAGGAAATAAGGTGATAGAGTGACATCGCTGGCCTACTGCTTAGGCTAACGGTTCCGCGATCGTGAGATTGCAGGTTCGGGGGTTCGAGCGTCAGCTGGGTCCGTTGTCTTTGGGAAAGGCACTTTGTCGGTCCTTTTGGAGATGCATGTTAAACTTGGAAATCCCGCCTCTTCTTAAATAACGTATGTTGACGGAGGCGTTTAACTTATATATGTACAGGTTTCCCCCATTTTTAGGTGATAGGCATTGTAAAGTTTAAAATCGTTCAACTTTGAGCAGTACAGGTTTTCACGGCAGATAACAAATTGTTTGGATTGTTTAAACCGTGGTGAGGCATAATGACTATTGACGTAGAGTAAAATTAGCCGTTTCTAACTCTGCTTGCTGAGTTTGAAATGGTCATAGCGAAACCACGGATGAAAACACGTATCCTACAATTTAGAATTGAAGCCACTTTCATGAAAATGCATCATAGAACAAACTTATTTGCAGCTAAAATTACTGATCTCAAATGCTGTTTTTTAATGTAAACTAAGAACAATCTCAAGCTAAACCTAAAAAACTTGACCTAAATATCAAATGCGTTTTTGGATTCAGGGCCCCAAATTAGTTTTTTTTTTATAATAGTAAAAAATGAGAACCTGACTGTGCCGGAAGCATAATCTTTGTTGACCAGTGTTATTTTAACCAAGAGTGCTATTAAATTTTGCATAATGTTCTATATCACAGCTCCCAATAGCGTACGGTTTCTTAGTTTCGATGTATTTTATAAGCATTGTTTATTAAGATAGTGTGCTAAAAATGGAAGCTTAAATTCAGGACAATGCAAAAATAGGCAAGTATCTTTTTGTATAGAAGAGGGATTCTGAAACCAAGAGGTATTTATTTGAGCAGTCATTCGAGGTATTGTAGACCCCATTACTAGTTGGCAAGGCTTTTTGTGTGATGCTCGGAAAAGAATTGGCGGGAAAAAAGTAAAAATACTTCACAGAAACTGAAGTTTCCCACGTCTTCGATCGTTTCGCTCTCTTGTTTTCGCATTGTTGTTACATAATAATAAAGCGTATTTAACAGAATTAAATGTATTCTTGAAACTCTTATGCGAGTGAAATTCTAGGGGTTTAGGTTTTAAATTAAGGAGAGAATCATATTGAGAAAATCCGACATCAATTCAGATTCTGCGACCAAATTTCATGATTATGAATCGTACTCGCATACACGAAGCCATCTTTTTCCTATTCCATCCTTTATTTACTTTTCCTCGTAGACTAGAATAATAAAGTTACTTTGAAAGTGTTCAACTCTGCTTTTGCAGTTTGTTTTGAACGTTTGGACATAGGTCATTTTCATAATTGTGCTGGTACTAACATAGCTTGACCATGAAACTGCACACATATGAAAGTGGGTGGTTGGTGGGTGCTCTGGTGTGGTTTGTTCTTCTTTCCTATCAAACATCTATCGTCCTAATCTCCCCTTCTTTTTTGTTTGTCACTCTCTGGTAACACCTAATTTTCGGGCGCTCATATGACCTTATGCAGTTGCGAGTGCCGTAAAACCTCTATTAAAAACTAAAAGACAAATGGAATACTCGGTGTACAAAAAAAATAATAAACCCTCACCACACAGGGTTCGAACTCGCAGGTTCTGCGTACGACAGCGAAGCCCCATACAGTGCACCGCAGACATTGGTCACACTCACACTCGTATACACACACTCGCGCACATACATGAACACTCGCACATACATGAACACTCGCACATACATGTACACTCGCACATACATGAACACTCGCACATACATGTACACTCGCACATACATGTACACTCGCACATACATGTACACTCGCACATACATGAACACTCGCACATACATGTACACTCGCACATACATGTACACTCGCACATACATGCACATACAGTAATACACACGCGCACATGCACTCGTCCACCCACTTGAATACAGAAGTTATATTTTCACTGGGAGAACACAGAGGCGGCCGGATTTCTGTCACCTAACCACTAGGCACAGTTATAGTTATAGGAATCCATCTATACAATTTTTTACAAGCGCACAGTGACACGGCCTACTATTATCCGCGGGATCGGTGGCGACTTATTTTATAGGAATGAAATGTTGATTCCTCCTCGCCGAAAGCCGTTGCTCGGTGCAAAGGAGTGCCCTGTCAGTGGGCCCTCACAGGATCTGTGACGTCATAGGACTGGACTGGGGACTTCTTCAACTGACCATTTATCTCCACAAGGAAACACCGTAGACAAAATCTGATTAGATATATTTGAAATCAACGATTCTAATTCTACAGGTTCACCGAGCAGATTGTATCGTCAACGCCTTTTCATCAGAGGAATTCATTTTCGCAGCCAGGCTGGGCGTGAAGGGATGACAGAACCTAGGTTCTATGTGATCGGATAAAGTGAGGCGTGTCTGTAGTAAAATGTGACACGTGAAAGGTCACGTTCTATGTGAGGTGGACAGGCTCTCGCCCTGCTATCCTAGTGTTTCGGGACGCCGCGGAGATAAAACCAAAAAAAGGGAGGGGGAGGGGGAGGGGGAGGGGGAGGAGGCGACCACTGAGCTGTATACTTCACTACAGGCTCGCCAGTCTACGCAGGCGCAGAACGCACGGTCCGTTTTATTTCCTGCCAAGATGGAAGACGAACGACTGACAGCTGCAGTTCGCTCCAGAGAATTGATATACAACAAAGCGGACAAGAACCAGTTCCGACAACGCTGTATTCTCTGTCTTCTTCTCCACAGCCACCACACAAAAGGTTTCTCACGCTTGCTCAGCGCTTTATTTTTAGGCAGTCGGACGGAGTCGCCTTGACCTGTGGGATCACTACTTCCGACCTGGCTGCTCGTCCGTTTCGACGCACACTTCAGTTGTGCGTGGTGGTTTATTTTCAGACCAACTTTTGTTTTTAGGCAACGTAAGATGTAGGGCGAAAAAAAAATTGAATAGGTAAACTTTAAAATTGGGTTTAAAAAGTGTATGTGTTCTCTAGTGGATAATGTGGTTTAAAAGACAAAAACAGTAATTGTTACGAAAGAAAAGCATGCGACGATGAAGAAACAGTAAAAATAAATAGGCGGTACATTTGAAAAGCAATAAATATTGGAATCATGAAAGTCGATGTTTATTACATTAAGTAAGTGGGTGTCGATATATAGTTTGGAAATGTGTGAAATTGAAAAGATAGGCCTACTTTCTTTGACCAGATAAGTAAGGTTCAAGTATTCCGATAAAAAAGATGAAACATGAAAATGAAATTAGAAAACTCAATTCAACTGTGGTAAAGAATTGTTTTCCTATCTTGGAAAACAGTTCAATGAAAGATGAAAATCTGCACAACCATTTATTGGAATTTTGATTGTTATAATGAATATGAATATGATTGCATGATTTAATTGAACAATAATTCTAATGGCTGATACTCAAAGCTGCTCCTAAATAAGGAATAAGCCTTTCCTTCTAGAGAACAAGACATTCTAAAAAATCTACATTACATAACGAACAGAAAAAAATGCTGTAAATACTGCTGATATTGTGATGTACTGTATTGAGGATAAGCTTGTGATGAATCATAATTACTGTGTCCTGCGAGTGTCATTTGAAGTTGAGGTGAATTTGAGATTGAGCTTGAAGGTCCAGGAGATGGATTTGTGATAAAATAAACTTACAAGCAAAATAGTTGTGCCGTGTTGTGGTCTGAAAGGAGTGACAAAATGTTTGCAAAGCTAAAACACAACGCTGCATGGGTTTTTGTGTGTGTGTGTGTGGTGTTTATTTTGTTTTTATTTTATTTTATTTTATTTTTTTTTGCGCACAGGAAGCATCTGTGGGGAGAGGGAGTGGCTAGCAAGTTTCTTCCACGCTGTCTTCAGTGGCGCATTTCTTGTTGTCTAAATTTTGGTCGCTGCAAAATGGGACCTCCAAGCAACGCCCAAGTGGCTGTGGCGTCTAAGCAGCGCCTACTCTGCCTACACGTTAATAAAGCTGAGCGAACTGACAAGATCACAGAAGTCGTCAGGAATAAAAATACGGTTTTAAAAAGGAGAAATAAGATAAAAGTGAGTCCGGTTCTGGAAGACAGTTTGAGTATAAAGTAAGGACAGCGTCAAGGACCAAATAGTACAATGTAGCACTTCCCAACTAAACTGATTAAAACAAAAGACAGATATTATTAATATTATCATGTTGACGCCCATGATCAAGTATTTTTTTATTCTATTTTTTCAGGGTTTTTTGGTTTTATTTTGCTTTGTTTTCTGTAATATATAATGTTTGTGTTATGTTTTGTTTTGTTTTTTTACATTTCGTTTGTTTTACGGTTCCGTTTTTTGTTTTGTTTTGTTG